GTAAGCCTGCTCTTGCCCATCCTGTATATCAGTCTAATTGGTTTCTTGAATTCATGTTTTCCTGAGCTTTTAAAACAGAAATATCAACATTAACACAACTCTAAAATGAAGTCAAATTTTTCTTCCTGGTCTCAACAAATACACTTTTTTCCCCCTTAATTTTTTTAAAAAAACTAATCACTTTTTTTTTTGCATGTTTCACTGTATTATGATAAAAGTATTCTATGTTATACATCATTGTAATGTTTGCTATATATAATAGATGCACCCAAATTCCTACATTGTTGGATATTTAGCGTTTATATATATACACACACACACACACACACAGTATTTTCATTCCCTCACATTGTTTAAATAGTATGTTCTTTGTTTTAATTTGGCTATTTTGAGGTGTTGAACCCTTTTCTCAAATATTCAATTACTATTTCTATTTACTTCTCTGTGAATTACCTATTAATATTTTATATTAAGTGCTCAATGATGTTTTAACACTTTAAGTATATTTTACTAGTTCCATTAACTCTAATAGATTTTTTACTCACAAGTTTTTTCTCACTTTTAGTTACTAAAAACTTTTTATATGTGAACTTTTTTTTGTCTTACTCATTTTATTGCTCAAAACTTAGAAAAGTTATTACCTGACCAGAACTCTAATGAACATAAGTATTATTTTCTGGTATTAACTACTTAATCTACCTTTAATTCAGTTTACTGTGGATATTTTAATTAACCAGTGAGCATCCCAAGTTCTTTCTGTCCAAGGTTTCCATCACTTTGCTTTTTTTTCCCCCAATGAGTATATTAACATGATGTGGGAGATACTTTTAAGGGATGCTGTAGAATTTGGGTAGTAGTTTTCCTCTGTTAAAGAGATCTAACAGTTAATGCCTTAGAAAATGAAAAGAGCCTTTCTCTTTTATTTGGAATTTAATATTTCCTAGATATATCTTGGTTTCAGTGTATCAATTTTGTTTGAAAACTGGGGTCCTGTTTTCTATATCTGATCTTTTGTTCGTTCTAGAAAGATTTATTTACTTTGAACTTTGATTTATTCTGATTCATTTGTTCAAGAACTTGTGATTTTCACAATATCTAACTCTTATGTGTACCTGATTTTCTTTATTTCTTCCATTACTATTTAAATTTGCTTTTATTATGAGCTTCCTGAGACCATAAACCTTATTTATTTTGTCCTCATATTTTTATCTTTCTTCTCTATGAACTCTGTAGCTTTAGTAACGCGGCCAACAAATGCTAGTATCAGAATATGCTTTCTTTTGGTGCAGATTAAAATGAAATATAAAAGTAGGTCTAAAGAAACTTTAAAATAAATTGTCACAGAAAAGGGAAACAGTCCTCTTCAGAATACCAAACAAAAGGAGACTCCAGGGATAATTTTCCCTTTTTTAAAAGTCCAACTTTTACAGGTCCCTTTGGTACTATTCAGTAAGTATTAAACTACCGTTTGTTTTATTCATTAAAAATGTCTCATTTCTTTTCTTAAGAACAAAATTATGGATTCATATACTTGTGCCTAGCACACAGTTATAGATTAATATATTTTTTTTCTCTTAAGTGTTTTGACGACAATATGCCAAAGGCTTATTATGGCTTTTATTCTTGCTGTTGAGGAATTATATGTCAGTCTAATTGTTCTTTTCTCTTAGTATATATTATGCTTCCCTTACCTGTGAATGCTTGTTTTTCTTATGCCTGGAAAACTTTCTTCCTTTATATTTCCCTGTGTTGTTTCTTCTCCAGATGTCTCTCTCTATTAAAAAAAGAAATCTATATAAACATATAACACCTATTGTTAACCTCAATTCATATTTACACATTCTCTTTTTTACATTCTGAATGATTTCTTTACATCTATTTCCAACTTACTATCTTTCCTTCTAGTTGGCTATTTTTGTCATTCAGTGAGTTTTTATTTCTCAGTTTCAGTTGCTTTTAAGATACCCAAATTTATTTTTACTGTTTAAAAGATGATGGCTTATTTTCAAGTTTATTTGGTCACTGCTTAGTATTAGTCCATGTTTGTCAAAATTTTATCTATTGGTTTTCCCAAGAACTAAATTGGAGATGTTTTCTTCAAAAGTGATTTTGTAATGGTTTCCATGGTGAATCTTACCAAATATTTAAATAAAAATATTCCCAGAAATTGAAGAGGAAAGAACACTCTTAAACTCAATATATGAGGCCAGCATTACCTAGCTACCAAAGTCAGATAAGGACACTATAAGAAAAGTAACTATAGGCCAATATCCCTGGTAATTATCTTTGTAAAAATTACCAACAAAATATTATCAAACCAAACTCAACAGCACATTAAAAGGATCATACATCATGATCAAGAGCAATTTATTTCTGGAATACAAAAATGGTTCAGTAAATGCGATACACCATATAAAGAACTAGATAAAAAGCATATGACTATCTCAATAGATGCAGAAAAGACATTTGTCAACATAACACCCTTTCATTATAACAACTCTCAACAAATTGGGTACAGAAGGAACATACTCAGGAAGATGTGCTAGAATAGATAAAGATGGCATGGGTGTTGAGCGAGTTTTCCATGGTTTCCATTATGGTAGCCTCGCCTACAATGTTATTGTCAGCCCTGGCCTCCTTGTCAGCCTGTCTCAAAAGTTCTGCTGTATTTACAAAAGAACAGTGTCAAATATGATGTAAAGAAGAGAAGAGATGCCATTTTTATAATAGTTTACACAAATTTAATTACCTAATGGTTATATACTTTCGTTTTTGCTCTCATATGAACTTCAGTCATATTGGGGAGACAATAGTTCATAGCTATAGCATGGAAAATCTCTCTGATGAAATTTAGTTCTCAACAATGTCCTCTACCAGGACTTTACTAACTCTAGAAAAGTAGATTTTATTGCTGGTATTTAACTTTTCAAGGGTTAGTTAATTAACCTTATATAACCTTCAATACTTTTATATTATCATTCTACATTATAATAACTTTTAACACTTATTGAGCACTTACTAGGTGCCTGGCACTATGTTAACCATTTTTATTGAATCTTAATATGCACAGCAATTTTAGGAAGCAGGTGCTGTCACAATCACTAGTTTGCAGATGTGGAAACTGAGACATAACAGTTAAACTAAATTGTTAGTACAAGTGAATAAGTAGTGGAGCTGGGTTTGACTCAGACAGTGTTGGGCTTCTGAGTCTGCAAACCTCTTACTCACTAAAGTCCCTCTTATTTTACTGTGAACTCTTTCTTCACTTTAAGCAGGGGTGGGGAACCTTTTTTTCTGCCAAGGGCCATTTGGATATTTATAACATTATTTGAGGGCCATACAAAATTGTGAACTTAAAAATTAGTCTGCTATATTTGGTCAAACATTTCATTAACTCACCCCTAATGCCTTGGCAGGGCTATACCAAATGATTTTTGGGCCTTTTGGGTCCAGGTGCTGGAGGTTCCCCACCCCTGCCACAAAGAATTAAATACTGAGAAAGGAGATAAGTAAACATTTAAAGCAGTAGCGAAATACCCAAAAGAAGGTTTTTAGAGTTTAGATAAGCGTACTCTTTCTTTTCAGGTAAAAAGAAAATAATCTGAAAATAATAAGTAGCACTGGAATATTATAAAGGGTGTCTGAACCAATTATATATTTAAGAAATAACAAGATAAATAACTAGACCTCTATGGTAATATATTGATGTGATTTTATGATTAAGTTGATTTAGAAAACTATTATTAATAGCTAGTTATGTATGCCCAGAATAATAATAAAATTGCTTTTGAACTCTATAATCCATTAATTTTATTATATTGACTGACTTTTAAAATTAAAATCTATCTTTAAAATGTCAATCGGAGCCCTGGCTAAGTGGCTCAGTCAGTTGCAGCGTTGTCCCATACATCAAAAGGTGGCAATTCAATTCCTGGTCAGGGTACATACCTAGGTTGCAGTTTTGATCCCCCATGCAGCGCATGTGGGAGGCAGTTCATCAGTGTTTCTGTCTCACATCCATGTTTCTCTTTCTCTCTTCCTCTCTCTCTAAAGTCAATAAAAACATATCCTAGGATGAGGGTTAAAAAAATGTCGTTTTGAGAAATATCTACATTAAGTGTTCACCCTAAAGAATATGAGTGACATTTTCATATGGCATTTAATATTAAATAAATAAATCATTTAAACATTTGATATATAAAAGCCATGTCTCCTTAGGATGCTTTTAAGCTTATATAGAACAATCATAAGGTAGATGCTATTTCTGGGTTTTGAGATTCTCCTTGAAGCATCCTTCCTCCCAGATATTTTAAAGGATATATTTAATGCATTTCCAGCTGTGAGTTATATACCCCTTATTTAATGTGATTAATAATCAACTGGCCTTTCTTCTAATAACTATATGTGAAATAGTTTATTGTCTCCAACTGTCCTTTTAATTTTATTAGTGGTAAGTACTTTTGTGGCCTCTGGATAAAAATTTAGAGCCCCTCATTTTATTCTCCTCACTCTAAAGTGCTTAGCCTTTGACTTGTGCAGACTAGAGAAGTACCTCCACATAGAAGTGGGACTCATACTACACCAGTAGCTCTCCCCAACGACATCTCCAAACTTCTCTCTTTCACCCCTTTTCTATATCTGTCTATATTTATCTATCCATCTAGTGGCTACGGGCTTAAGAGTCTTAGTTTGTCATCTCTTTTTTCATCTTGTATGTAGTCTATCATCTAAATGGTTACATCATCTTTTGATACTTCAGTTAAAATATCCATTTTGCACCTTGTCATACAATTAAAAATATGAACTGCTATATAAAATTTCATTACTTATATTATTATTTATCTATTTCATAATTGTGCTTGAGACTCACCTAGAATTTATTGACACTTTTTGTACTCCCCACAGCGTGGAGCTCACTGGTGAAGTGTTAGAAAATGTCCACTAAATCTATTTTGACCTGAGTTGATAAAAAGTAAAACCCTACTCATTTTTATCTTCAGTTTCAGGTACAGCATTGTGTGTCTCAGAGTCTGGTAACCCTGGGAAGTTGCAGCTTGTTGAGAAAATCTATAATATCTCTGCTTCTATCAGAAGTAAATAGCTTCATTGATGATCTGGATACCATCAATCAGGTATTTATAACTGAAACTGTACCTCTCCTTTATTGTTAATTGGGCTGTAGCTTTTCTTTCCCATCCCCTCCCTTCTCTTCTTGCCAGGCTGATATTTTACTTATTACCTTATTTCTTATGTATATGAATACTATTACTGCCTACTGAAATTATAGAAAGCTTTTTTCAGAAAATAGTTTTCAAAATAACATCCTGTTACTTGTACTTGTATACATGTACCAAAGGTGCCACTGGTGACAGCAAAGGGATGCTTAGGTGAAGGGCCTTAAATCTCCAAGCAGGCAGCATGTTCCTAAAGCAAAGCAGTGAGAGAAAGTGGATGGGAGAGGGTGCTAAGTGGAGCATAGCCTCTGACCAGTGGTGGTTCTTCCTAATCGCTGTGAGAATCGTCTGGCTAAATTTACACATCTAGTTCCCAAGCCATGTATCATTCATATTAAACGGAGGTCTCTGTGGTTAAACCTCTCCAGGTGATTCCAAAGTGTGTCCGAGGTTGAAAACCAGTGCTCTAAGCCCTTTGATATGTATATCTTATATCACTGCTGACAGATATGTCTAAGGAACAGCAGTCATTCCCATATTGTAATGTTGACTGGTATATTATACATTCATTTTGTTAGCATATTTAAGATTATTGCTGTTTCTATGGTAGAATTAAGTACAATTAAAGGAAAAAAGAGGCTGGTAGAAATGTTTTGGTAAAGAGGAAAAAATTAAGAATACAAAAATGTATGTATATAATTTCAAGTACCTTTAACCAAGTTCTTACTTCTGAGTTCTCTACACTATATTTAATGGCATATGCCAAAAATACTGTATAATCTAATTGAATTCAGTGAATGACATGGCAAATCATCTAGTCAGCAGTTTGTTCAAGTGACTACTAAATGGTAAACTCTCTTAAGAACTCTGTTAGATAATTTTTTAATGTGATTGCTACTGATCTCAAGGACTTAAAAGTCAATTTCAGAAAGAAATAAGGCACATTTTACTAATTTAAAAAAAAGCAAAGTGTCAAAATGCCTAGTGCTGTTTGTAGGAGCTCCAAGATCAAAGAAGTGATCAAGGTAGGTTGCAAGTCCTTGCAAAGACTTCATGAAAAGGGAACAACTTGAAAAATGGCTTTAAGTTGAAAAAGAGATGATAGCAGAATATAGAGACATTGCATGTTTTTAAAAAATGTGTGCCCGGGATTCCGAGAAGACAGGTAAGGTCATGGCATTTAAAAACAGGAAGTAATGTGGGAAATTAGCTCATCAAGTGAGATTATTTGTGTGGAGAATAACAAAATATAGAAAAAAATATTTAGTTATATACTCTCAGTTAATTTTCACAAAACTTCATGAAGTAGTTATATTTTTTACCTACATTATAACGAAATCAAATTTTAGAGCAGTTAAGTAACCTGACCAAGATTGCAGAAAGAACATATGCTAAAGATATAACTCATACCCTGGCCCTCTAATTGTTATGGTGCTAACAGTAACACAAGAACAATAACTACGTTTCTGCTATTTATACGCTTTACCTGAATTGTCCCTATCAATTCTTCTATTAACCCTTCAAGATGTTAGAATTGTTATTTAAAGATGAGAAAACTCTTAGTTGGCATTCCTTTTTAAAAATATTTTTAATGGATTTCAGAGAAGAAGGGAGAAGGGGAGATAGAAACATCAATGGGCTACCTCATGCACACCCCCTACTGGGGACTGCGCCCGCAACCTGGGCATGTGCCCTGACTGGAATTGAACCCTGACCTTTTGGTTCATAGGTCGACACAACCACTGAGCGAAACCAGCCAGGTTAGTTGTTATTCTTAATAGTAGACAATAAAATTCACTCCAGACAATTTATGACTAAAAGGATGCATGAATAGCTATTAAATTGTTGGAAGGGCTGAAGAGACCACATGCCTTATTTCATGAATGACTCCTATAACCACCCAGCAGAATTTAGCTACCAAGGGAATTGCTGTCTTTGCCATTATGACCAGGACACTACCTGCTGAATTAAGAAGCTGCTGCTACAGTCAGAGAGTCCAGAAAACAGTCCAGCCACAATGTACAACCGCCAAATGTATGCCCTGTACCTGTCTCACTCTGTGATTCAGTTTCAACTACAATGTTTTTGTGATTGCATTTGTTTCTGAACCAACAGCATATACAGAGTCCTAGCAGCAAGGAAGTATAGAAAATGCAGTTTTACGGTTTTGCACTCTAGTCCAAGGTGTCCATCATATATAAGGCTCAGAGATTCAGTAGCATGCTGGTAAGAGATGGAGTCAGAGTAGGGAGTGAATACAGGGAGGCCATTTGTTTGGGACTCTCAGTGCAATCTTCCTCAAGCGGCAATAGAAATAATCACTGGATATAAGAGGCATTATCCAAAGGATTCAAGGAAAGATTTAAGGTGAAAGAGAATTGTAAAACTAAGAGAAGGAAAATGTTACCATTGAGAAGGATTAGGTAACTGGGAAGGAATGCTTGTTTGTAAATGGCATAGGTTGAGTTTGTATATATTAAGTTGAGGAAACAATGAAGTAATCTAAATGTAGGCAGATATAAATAGTAAATTAAAAACAAGAGAAAGGAGAGGGGCATACATTGAAATTTGGGAAATATCACTATATGGCAATCATGAAATCATAGTCAGAAAGAGAACAGGGACTCAGAAAAGTAAAGTGGAATAGGAAAGGCAGATTTACAAACAAGGATAGAAGACAAGTTTTACTTTAATATATGTGTTAGATTGCCATTATAAATGTCAGATTAAAATGGTTTAAATTTTTTTTCAAATATAAATAATATGCTTTATATGTAATGTAGTTTTGCAGAAAATCTCTATATATAAAAGCCTAAGCAACCATTTGATCATTTGGTAGCTATGACCCGAACTGACCACCAGGGGGTGGATGCTCAATGCACAGGCATGGAAACATGGAACAGACTGAATCTCAGAGGGAAGGGGGGAAGGGGGAGGGTGGGAAGAAATTAACCAAAGATCTTATATGCATACTAGAGGGTGAGGTCTGGTCTGCAGGGATCGGGCTGAAACCAGTAGTCTGACATCCCCCAAAGGGTCCTGGATTGTGAGAGGGCACACCCAGACCGAGGGACCCCACAGGTGCATGAATCCATGCACTGGGCCTCTAGTCTATAAATAAAAATATAAATATTAAAATCATACTTCACATTTGTTTTCTTTATATCTTAGTTTTCTGCTCCCCCAAAACATCTGTATCATATAATACATAGTTTTGTATTCTGCTTTCTCACTAGAAAATGTGATTTTTTAGTGTCTCAGTAGTATTCTGTGATATTTATGTTCCTTGATTTAGTCTATTGTTGGACATTTAGGTTATTGTTATGCAATTTGACTTCTGATATAAAACTTAACCATTTTCTAAAACTGACTCATGAAGATACATATTTCAGTTGACTTTATTGAATTAACTGCATTCAATCTTATTAGTGATTTGTATCCTAAATTTGAATATTAAGAAGATTTTTGAGAAAGTATATAATATCTAATTATAATTTAAAAATAAGCCCTGACTGGTTTGGCTCAGTGGGTAGAGCATCGGTCTGTGGACTGAAGGGTCCCAGGTTCTATTCCGGTCAAGGGCATGTACCTTGGTTGCAGGCACATCCCCAGTAGGGGGTGTGCAGGAGGCAGCTGATCGATGTTTCTCTCTCTTCGATATTTATAACTCTCTATCCCTTCTCCCTCTCTGTAAAAAAAAAAACAAAACAAAATATATTTTAAAAATAAAATAAAATTTCTCAGAACTTCTGAAAAACAATTTTAAAAAGTCGTGATAATTTACTATTAATAGAATATCTTTCCCAATGTGAATAGTTCAAAATCTGGACTTAGATATGAATTTGAATTTAAGACAAAAGGTGGTACAAACTGTGATTCTGTAGATAGGGAACGTGACATGAGCCCCATGATTGCCTTAACTTTGGGGTTGAAGGCCCTTCCTGGACTGGCACAGGTGGAGCCCAGCCATACCCCAGCAGCTTCCCTCAACTGAAGAGACACAGGTGGGAGTTCAGGAGCACTGATGTAGGTAAAATTTCTAGGTCATGCTCATGAAGAGGAATAGTTCAGGAAATGTATACAGAGGTTTTCTTGATTATTTGTTGAATACTAAGTTGCATGTATGCAGGACACTTCACAAGGCCAAGTGAAGAGAATCTACACAGGAAAGAACTACAGAGAAGCTGTGAGCTGAACCATGGCCAGAGCTCACACAGTGCTTGGGGCCATCTTAATTCTACCCAGTCATATTGGCAAGACCTTATTTAATACTCTGGACAGTCAATAGAGACCCCAAAAGGTTACACCTTAGCAGCACGGTGATTTATAGTCCTAGGATAAAGGCTCTGCTGGATGCATTCTAGCAAAGCTTATAAAGAAGCCCTGAGAGGATCTTGCTGATTCACAGCTAAATTAACTGCCTGCTGGAAGGACACAATACAGAACCTCAACAACATGATGTCTTTCATGTCTGTCTATCAGCCATTCAGAAAGTACATGCGAAGAAGCAAGAATGTATAAATCATAAGCATGAGAAAAAAACATCAATTAATGAAAAATAAAACCAAAAATGACAGAAATAATGAAATTAGCATGCAAGTACCAAGATAGCTATTATAAGTATGTTAAAAGAAAACATGAATAATAAGGTAAAAATAGGAACTTTGAACATAAAAATAGTATATATTAAAGCTGTTAAACACTATTCTAAACATTTCATACTCTTCCAAGGCTTTTACATATTTTTTTAAATTTAAAATAGCTAACTATTAACCAGTTTTTTGAGAAAGAGGATTTGTATCCATTTATCTTGTCATCTTTTTCTATAGCTGTGTTTATTTAAATGCTGTTTTCTTGGATGTTGAAAATTGTTTATATAATGCTGAGGATAAAACTTTCCTAGTATCTTGACAAATATGTGATTTGTATTTCTCCACTTGGAGTTTTTATCAATTGAT